ACAGAGGTAGCAGATACAGCCAGGTAGCGCTTTGCTAACATGGCAACATAAGGATATTTGGCGTTTGTAATAGCTTTGGCTCGGTCTAAACTTTTTGCAAGTGGTGGAGGTTTAAATGCTAGTGGGAGTTGGATTTGCACTTCAGTCTTTTTTATTTTGGTACCGGTGATATTCACGTTCGGATGATGCCTTTTGAAATGAGTGTGCAAGTTTGATGTATTGCCAGCCGCGTAACCAATTTTAGTTGAACAATGCCGACAAACGGCTTTGGTTCGGTCCACCTGTCTTTGTCCGTCATCCTTGTACGTAACTGCGAAACCAAAATGTTCCCAAACCGGAGACTTCAATGATGCTGGAGGATTTTCGAGCTCAACTTTATCTGCGTTCGCCATTTCGACAGTTCCTCAAATTACTGACTACATTTGAACGCATCCCTGTGAACAGCTCTCATAGTATGCCTCTCGTCCAATGAAATGACTTGCTCGCTCTATGACGCGTTGAACCCAATGCGAGCAAATGACTCTGAATGCTGCGACGCAGCACCTGAGATTACTTCCAAAAAGTTGTTCACGTTCTCAATTTCTTACGTTTAACGTTATATTCGTTCGGTACACTTCGGTACACACGTGTACCGAACCGAAGGGCCCGTACCAAATAATTTCGGTACGGGTACGTGTACCGTTACACCCCTAGTGTCTCCTCATTCTAACAAACTAACAAATTAATTAATATAGCACATTTGAAAAGGATGTTGCACAAAAAACGAATTACTCAAAATTTAAAAGATAACTAGCTATAATCAAACCTTGTTTTGGCTTCCTGATGTTTTGAAGCTAATCAAATATCAGGAGATGCCAATTCATGATTCACCTATATGTCAATCATTATAACAGTATGCATATTTACACACAATATACATGACAATTTATTTCTTGCTGAGCTTAGTAGGAGTAGAAAGCAAACATAAATGTAAAAAACTTTTTCTCTGCAGTTGAATCACACTGAATGCCTTTTAATTTTCTTGGTTTACCTGCCTTTTGAAAATGGATAAGCACTGGATTGGAGTTACCTTTGATCTTATCTTATGAAAGTTCAGCCACTTTGGCATATATGACTAAACTATTTATAGTAATAGCATCATTTTAAAATACATCAAAACTAAAAGATGGCAGGTCAAAAGCATACTTTCCCATACTGCAAGACATTAAAACCAATTGAGGGTGGTGCAGCTGCCGTACCAGGCCGTGATGCAGCCATTCAGGATACTCTCTATGGTGCACCTGTATACATGTTGATGTATCCTTGGGCAACATACTTAACTCCAAGTTGCTCCTAATGATAATGTTGTGTGAATGTGTGAATGTTACCCTCCTTGATCATGGGACACCTTGCATTGCAGCCTCTGCCTCTGAAAGAATGGGTGTGAATGGGTGAATGCTGAGTTGAATATATAAAAGCCCTTTGAGGAGTCCTAAAGACCGGACCGAGCGCTTTATAAATTGTTGCTTTGTGTAATTAATTTTGCTCGCCCTGTTTAGGCAGTTGGCTGGTCCATCCTCCTCTTCCTGATTGTGCTTGGAGCCATGGGACGCCTCATCAAGCCCTACTTCGATGACCACGCCACCTCTCTGCAGACACGCTACTGGAGCAACTACCTGGACGTGGAGCAAAAGCTCTTTGAGGAAACCTGTGTCCTGCACGCTCGTGACTTCGCCCGGAAGTGTGTGGTGCAGTTCTTCGAGGACATGAGGGAGGACGCCGTACTCCGTCTCCCGCAACCACTTTTCCTCATAAACTCCAGAGAGGAGTGCGAGGATAAAGAAGAGGAGAGGCTTCACGGAGTGTCGAAGCAGGAGCAGGTGGACCAGCTGCTGAACAAGTGGTACCACAGTAAACCTGAACTAGATGTCACCAGAATGGCACACAGACCCAGGACCTGCGTGACCTGGGAGGACAGAGAAGGGAGGACTTTATACTCGGATGTCTAGGACACATTCGGAGATGTAATGCTGCCTGTAGCTAAAGTTCCACTTACTAATGATGCCAAGCTTTCAGCTACATCTCCTGATCTTTTTTCACAAAAGGAGCATGAATTAAAAATATATATAAATTAAATGATGTTACTACTGAAATGTTATGATAAATAAGATGCAGAATCAGAAACAGACATGCAGGTAGTACACTCAGAAGCCAATAACACACACACACACACACACACACACACACACACACACACACACACACACACACACACACACACACACACACACCCATTACATTAAGGCAAGGCAGTATACACATTTAGAAACAGGAATGAATAAAAATGTGCTATTGGCTCCTAGAGGACTGCAGAGGCTGGCGGTTTTCCGGGCTAATTTGAGTGTCAGGGTGTGGTGCAGCTGGTTTTGCATTCAGGTTGTTGACTTGGATCTTACTCACACAGATTTATTGAAAACCTGAACATCAGTGTACAGATTCACAAATATTCAATTTTTACTTTTGATAAAGTCTGCTTTAAAGATACATTATTTTAAATTCAGTAGCCTACTGTTTAGATCAGTGGTTCTCAAACTTTTTCTGTCATTCCCCACTTTGAACAGGTGGGTCTTTTCAAGCCCC